CCCTATTTGGGAAATAAGCTCTGTCTGATTAAAATAAAAAATTTTTGGCCATGTTTGTGGATGTAGGCAGGTAACCTCAAGTAATAAGCAACTTTTGAGATATACTAGGCATTCCTACCTCCTACCACTGTCTCTTATACACATCTAGATGTGTATAAGAGACAGGTATATTAACACGTGCTGAACTTACAGTAGAGACCAATTTTATTGTTGCCGTTTGACTGTTTAAGGGTAAAATTAGAGATTTGGGGTAACACGTGCATAAACTTTGTAAATAAATTCGCATTCGCACCTCGTAAATGGCTTTTCATGGCCGAGATATGGAATTCACGGCTCGGTGAAATAGAATCACGGCTCGTAGAAATGGAATCACGGCTGGCAAATCCATAAAACCACGGCTCGAAAAATTCAGTCGCGGCTCGCCAAGTAGATATATTCCATACTAGACTACACCTTGTGATAAGTTTAGGGTTTTTTATTTATTGATGGTATAGATGCTACATGCTTGTTAGTGATTTTGGTCCTGTCTTACCAGCTTACCTCATCTGACTATATACATCATATTATGTAAGAATATCATTATCTATAGTCTGCCATAGGTATAAATTATAATAAATGTATAATGTTATATGTATAAGCCTAACTTATTTAAAATTTAAAAAATCAAATAATTTTAAATTTGGGCTACCTATTCAGGCTATTCTAGCATCATAGGCTAGGCTAGCATGTAGGTACTGTACTTAGTCACTTAGTGTACTACCTAACTGTAGTAGGCTCTATTTACCAGATTTTGACAAGGGACCTTTGCCAACGTTACCATAAACAAAAATACAAAATGAGTGTGAAATAACATGACATGATATGACTGATGAGACTCATTCGTCATTGGCAATATTGGCATTGACTCGCCCTCGCCCAGGAGCCAATAACAGATAAATTTTAGTTAGTTAGAATGAAATATACAATATCGGATTTTTACAGTATGACTGGCGTGGTAAAACAATTTCGGTCGTCAAGGAAAATATAGCTAAATTTCCAAAATTCCAATACACAATACTGTGACAATAGTATACCAGCCATGCGGCATCGACTTCCCCGTGCATAGTACGTACTGCCCAACAGTAACACAACGACAAAAATCGACAAAGAGAAGTGAGACTGAGAAGTTGAGAACGTTCTTCGTCATCCGGAAGCTTTGTGTTAGGAAGTTAGGAACGAGTCATGAAACGGACTCAGAGATTTAAGTTAGGTACTTAAAAAATTTAATTCTGTTCTATATTATTAAATGTAGCAGCATGTTAACAACGCGTTGCATGGGACGGATAATACCTGATATTTATAAACTTCTGTATCATAATTTGATTATTTGGAATTTTGTATAAGGCCAATCATGTTATCAAATCTAATGTTATCTAATGTTAAATCTAATGTTATCAATCTCATCCAAAACACCGAATCGACACTTCTCCGAACTCGCCTGCGAACTGTCCTAGCCATAACTTCTTCAGTTCTAAACGGATCAGCTTGAAATTGAGAACAAATCTAGTTATTATTCATGCAGAGCTGGATAAATCATCAAAAATTTTTGTGCAATTTAATTTTCGATCAAACGAACCTAATCTTACGTTACCGATCATAACTATACGTTATTTCTTGGAGTTTCGTTCTTATCAAAAATAAAAGAGCGTTATAATCTTTAATAATTCATTCAGCACCGCATTGCTAATATTTAGTTATATTCTTAATTTCAAGGAATTGAACAGGTGAGTCCGCGGCCGAAAACATAAAAGTGTCGATTCGATAGGTGAGTGAGAGTTAGCGCTCACAGCCCCACAGGTTCAGAGAAGTGTCGATTCGGCCGACGATGCCAGCAGGGAGTTTGTTCCACAGGTCGCTGACTTGAAGTGATTAGAAGCGTGATCGCATGAACGAGTTGCACCGTATTTTTTGTAGCGTATAGCGGTAGTCCTTTCAAAAATCGGGACTGTGTCTGAGCTGAGTAAACCGGACTGAACTTTGCTAAACTCATTCAATTCGATGGGCAGGGTGGCCCAGTGGTTAAAGTTCAAAATACCAAGTTTGGAGCAGAGAAGTGCGGGTGGGTTCGATCTCAGCTGTGTGCGCCAGTTTCTCTGGTCAGAATCGGCGGGGAGGCCCGGCGGTGCAAAGAAAATTTGAAGCAGTGGCTTGCGAATTCAAGCCCGCAACATGCTGTGGAGAATCCGCGACAGGCTTACGGCCTAATAAACGCTGAAACCGCCATATTAAATTATATATTATAATCCCAAACCGATCTCAATATATTTAATTACGCATCTTCAAATCATCTTTCAATATCAGGAATTTAAAAGTAAAGAAAATAGCCAAAAAGTTCACCATTTCTTATATGAGAAAACGTTTTTCGGAGTCCAGCTCCATCACAGTTCAAAACCTAGAACACAGGTACAAACAATTAGAAGCCTAAAATTCCCATTCAAACAATCCACCTAAACTTTAGGACATTAGAACTAAAATCGAAAATAAAACAAATAAAAATGAGATAACATGGGGAGAAAGTACTATCTATTTACAATTTGTAGAGGATAGGAACTGTATGCGGCATTTAAACTGGGCTTCTGCTTGAAAATATATAATGATTTTAAAATTCGTATGTCAGAAACACCGGTTGTGGAGGCTAAAACTCTAAAATCACTATTGGTCACCGGGACGTTGCACTGCTCGGCATGAATACGTACGGCTGAATGAGGGGGATGCGCATGTATGTTTCCATACGCAGATGCTCACTGCGCCCAACTATTTGATGAACTAAGGATGATCGCATAAGAACAGGGAGAGGATCTTTGTACATGAAAAACGACCTAATTTTAAGATTGTTCACTAGCAGTAAATGAAGATTTACATTCGGGAGGTATTTAGAGAATAGATCTTTCAATTCCTTTGTCATCGTCTCAGATGCGGGGCCAACGTAAAGAAAATAACAATAAACACTATTCCTATCGTCACGCTCAGGAACCACCTCAGCATATTGTTTAGACAATAATTTCTTAATTTGAGTATACTCCAATTGTGAAGGAAACCCATTCAGTAAAAAGATAGTGCGCAAATATTCAAATTCAGTGTGCATATTACGGAAAGTAGAGCAAATTCGGAAACCGCGGTTTAATAACGTTTGAATCCCATTTAATTTGTAACTAAAGGAACAAAAGCTGGTGCTTTAAGCCGGTAAACGGCTTAAGCAACGGGTCGTCTCGGCCCTACCTTTGCTAATTTTTTCATGTGTTAACACGAGGCTACATGGCTGGCCAATTGTCCTATAGTGATTTTAGGCCAATTTTCTACAACCGATATGTAGATGATAAATTCTTAATTTCAAACATCTCTCTCATGTGGGCCTTTTCTTTGATTATCGCCAACACAAACCCATCATATTTACTATGGAGCTTGAATCCAACAATAGTTTATGTTTGCTTGATTGCAAGGTCATAAAATCCGGTGGCTGTTTCCAGACATCTGTATACAGAAAATCAACGTTTACCGGCTTAAGCGCCAGCTTTTTTTAGCCTCTGTTCTTTTCGTTTCAAATTAACTGGGATTCAAACATTATTAAACCGCGGTTTCCGAATTTGCTCTACTTTCCATAGTATGCACACTGAATTATAATATTTGCGCAGTATGTTCTCACTGAATGGGTTTCCTTCAAAATTTGTGTATACTCAAATTAAGAAATTCTTGTCTAAACAATATGCTGAGGTGGTTCCCGAGCGTGACGATAGGAAGTGTTTATTGTTATTTTCCTTACTTTGGCCCCGCATCTGAAGCTATGTCAAAGGAATTGAAGGATCTATTCTCTAAATACCTCCCGAATGTAAATCTTTATGTACTGCTAGTGAACAATTTTAAAATTAGCTCGTTTTTCAAGTACAAAGATCCTCCTCCTGTTCTTATGCGAACATCCTTAGTTTATCAATATAGTTGTGCGCAGTGCGCATCTGCGTATGTCTATACATCGCGCAATTTTTATACTAGGCTTGCAGAGCATAGAGGCAGGAGTTATAGAACAGGGAACATAATTGCGCATCCCCCACATTCAGCAGTACGTATTCATGCCGAGCAGTGCAACGTCCCGGTGTCCAATAGTGATTTTAGAGTTTTAGCCTCCACAACCGGTGTTTCTGACATACGAATTTTAGAATCATTATATATTTTCAAATAGAAGCCCAGTTTAAATGTCGCATACAGTTCCTATCGTCTACAAATTGTAAATAGATAGTACTTTCTCCCCATGTTATATCGTTTTTCTTTGTTTTATTTTCGATGTTAGTTCTAATGTCCTCAGGTTTAGGTGAATTGTTTGAATGTGAATTTTAGGCTACTATATATTTGTACCTGTGTTCTAGGTTTTGAACTGACGATGGAGCTGGACTCCGAAACGTTTTCTCTTATAAGAAATGGTGAACTTTTTGGCTATTTTCTTTACTATTAAATTCCTGGTAAATTTGCGATTTAAGCAGCCAAGTGATCTTAATACTTACATCTTTCAATATACATTGCAATTTGTTATGCGTTGTAGCCAAGCTATTATCTCCAAAAAAAATATACAAAATGTGCGAATAGAGAGTATAAATCCTTTACCTAATAACAAATATAAAAAATTGATATGACAACTCTCTCCTAAATTGTAAATTATATCTTCAATTCTCAAATAGAGATATAAATATACTATGCTGATGAATATCCTCCGCACATTGTCATATTCTCCCGAAAAATTTCAATTTCCTGTACAATATTCTTTGACTACGCATTGCCGTCTGAGTGTTGAGTGAAAAAAATTCAGGGCATACGCGTATGCTTGATAACCTCGCTTATGAGGATAACACTGTAATTGTACATGATCATTCACGTTACATATAAATGTTGCTTGAGACACACAATACAAGATGAAAATTAGTTATGCACATATCACGAAGTGATAAGTCAAAGGAATACTTTGATTTACTCACATCAGTCTCGAAGAACACAATAAACGCAAGATAGCAGAAAAAGAAAACAATCTGGTACACTTCTTCTCCAAGTTGTAAAACGTTGGAAATCGTTTTCAAGAAGAGTAACGATACAAAAGGGAGAAAAAGTTCGGACAATATCGTTCCCACAACTTCATGAAAAGGTTCACGATAAAATATGCAATTTTTTACCGTGTAATACACTGCAAAACCGAGCAAGATAGATAATATAACGAACATACTAATGAATGTCTGTTGTACTCGGTCGTGATGTTGACATAGTAGTCTCTCTGTTGCTTGGTAGCCGCTTGACCTCGCAGCCACAACAGCAGCCTTCTCAGCTCGCAGCTCAAAAGTGTTCAATAAAACAAGATGGGATTATTAATAATAATTTCGTTCATATTGAGGAATGTCTAGCAAGGTTATTGGCCACTAACGCCGTCAAGCAGATCAATAATAACGTTTCATGACGTATCATTCCCACGTTAATGAAAATTCATCTTCTAAACGCAAAAAAGTTTCGCCTTTTTTAGGCTGGCGACGTACGATGATGAAATAATGAAACGAAATTAAATAATATACGTTTATAAATTACTTTTTAAAGAGAACACCTCTAAAGAATCCAGTGTCTCCAATGTTACGATGTACAATGAATTTCTCATTTTATTTTTGAATATTAAAAAAATTAATTTTAAAGTTTTTTTAATATATAAAATTTTATTTCAAAATTATTTATTCTGTCAATTGATTCATGCATTGCCTCCGACTTCACACATGTGTGCAAAATTTCATATCAATTGGACAGGTAAAAGTGTGTAAAAAAATCAGTTATAAGATTTGTAGCTGACAAAATTTTTTTTTTCAATTTTTTTAATATAAAAAAATTATTTTAAAAATTATTTATTTTAGCATTTGATTCATGCATTGTCTCGAACTTTACGCAAGTGTGCAAAATTTCAGATCGATGGGATAAGTAGAAGTGTGTCAAATATCAGTTATAAGATTTGTAGCTGACAAAATTATTTTTTCAATTTTTTTAATATTGAACAAAAAAAAATGTTTATTAATTTATTTTGACATTTGATTCATGCATTGTCTTCAACTTTACACAAGTGTGCGAAATTTCAGATCGATAGGATAAGTAGAAGTGCATTAAATTTCAATTACAAGATTTGTAGCAGACAGACAAACAAACAAACAGACAAGAAGTAAAGTTAAAGAGAAGTGTTGTAAAAACCTGCATTGAACGCGATCGTGTCCATTTGCAGATGTGAATCAATCAAAATAAGCTTAATTGACGTATTTTATGATGAAAATTGAAGTTTTCTAATGTTTTTACGTCGACTTAATCACATCTATTCAATTGAAAAAAATTGACATTTGAGGTAAACCTGTTGTTAATAATCTAGAAAATGATCGCCAGTTTCTGACACAAAAATATACCGTTGTGTGTTTCGTACATGCAAAATTTGTCACAAATTTTCATAAAACATCGAACGAGTATAAATGCATTGCCCAAACCTTCATTACTGCATTTCTTCTAACAATAATTAATGCTCTGTGAGTCCGACTGAAGGAAGTCTAATTCTCAGCTCAGATTTTTTGTAGAAAGCCGTAGACTGATTTTCGGATAGATAAAACATAGAATAAATTTTCATATAAATGCATTACCTAAATATTGATCGAAAAGAGGGCTAAATAATTTCCACATTGATCAAAATGATTGCATGTACTTTACTGATTTTAAAATGTGTTCTAAATTCATGTAAGGAAAAGAGCACTTTTTGCCCTCATGTGATGGTGCCCTCATTTTGATGGTAACTCCGAATCTTAATTCCGCACCAAAGGATGGGCAACTCAGACGTCGTCCACCGCATGTAGATTGGGTCTCTATAAACAAATTAGCGGAGCCTCACATACACGACATACATACGACATTCACCAGATGCAAACGATCAGTCACATGCAGGCTATATCAATCACACAGGTCATTTTTTCGTCATAAGAAAACTATCACTTATTCGCCACATGCGACCGATCACTTGTTCGCCACATGCAACCGATCATTCATTCGCCACATGCTCACGATTAATTATTCGCCACCACATACGATTAATTATTCGCCACGGGCAAGCGATCAGTTATTCGCCACGTGGGAGCAATCACCTATTTGCCACATGCACACGATCAATTATTCGCCATACACATACCCAAGTGCGAGTGATTATTCGCCACGTACGAGTGATCAATTATTCGCCACGTGCACATTATTAGTTATTCGCCATGTATATACGATCGACTATTCGCCTCATGCAAACGATCAATTATTCGCCGCAATCGATCAATTATTAGTCAACTATTTGTCAATCAATCAACTATTCGCCTTATACAAACGTACACGTATAACTCTCATTGGATATGCTATACTGATTTTTAAAATTTGTTTTAAATTCATGTAAAGAAAAGAGCACTTTTTGCCCTCATATTTGTGATGGTGCCCTCAATTTGATGGTGACTTCGAATCTGAATTCCGTCGACGTCTTCTCAGACGTCGTCCACCGCATGTAGATTGGGTCTCTATAAACAAAATTAGCGGAGCGTCACATACACGACATACATATGACATTCACCAGATGCAAACTATCAGTCACATGCAGGCTATGTCAAATTTGTCAATCATACAGGTCATTTTTTCGTTACAAGAAAACGATCACTTATTCGCCACATGCGGTCGATCACTTGTTCGCCACGTGCAACCGATCACTTATTCGCAAGTGTGCAAAATTTCAGATCGATAGGACAAGTAGATGTGTGTTAAATTTCTATTATAAGATTTGAAGCAGACAGACAGACAAACAAGAAGTGAAGTTAAAGAGAAGTGTTATAAAATGAATACGTAAGCGCTCAGTATATTGAGTAAAATTAATTTTCATTTCCACACAATTGATGTAAGCAGAATAAGCGCATTCTAGCATTCTGTGTGTGTTTTTTTAAATTGTTCGTTATAGAAAATTATAAAGATAATAGTGCTTCCTATACTTGTCGATTTTTAAATGTAGTACAGGTTAAAGATTGTGAATTCCATTTAACAGTTTAGCATCAGCCAGCACCATTTTGTATCAAGTCAAGTTTTTACCCGATTTTCTTAACTGAACACCTAGGCATTCTCGCAAGAAAAGATAGACAATGTTTGGATCCTCAGTCGAGGTATGCGTCCTGCAACGTCGATTCTTATATCTCTGCATTATTTAGGTTATTCAGGTATTTGTACGTGATTAAAGGTGGCTCTGAATGATGTGATTATCTGAGCAGGGAGTTCGCTGCGCTACAACTTTTAAGGTGCTTGTACACAGGGATAGTGCAGACGGCTAGTAAATCTGGCTAGTGTCGGTCGCTTGGTTACTATCCGGCTAGTAAGCCTGTACACACGAGGTGAGTAGAAGGTGCCGCTATCTTCTCGTTCGCGCCCGCCAGTGCGTCGTTAGAAGCCGTCGAGTGAGGTCTGCGAAGATGGATAGTGGGATCACCTTCAACAACTCTAGTCTGTACGTCGTTTTTATACTTTTTATTCTAACCTTTAAAAATGCAACGTCAGGAACAACTAAACCCTAACTAATAAGGTCTTCTTCCAGTTTCAAAATACTCGTTCCTCTCTTCATTTTGTTGTAGTAACCGTCATGGCAAACATTCCACTTTAATTCATATTTCAAAGAATAATTGAATATCGTCTGGAATCCATTTTGTTGGATTCCTCTTAGAAACATTATCGTTCAAACAAGCCATGATTCACTTGACCCAAGATACTTCACAGGAGCGGCACAGATCCTCTCACCATGGCTGCATCAGCGCTACTAGCCACTTCTCCAGCCCAGATATCAACACATCGTTATCTTGCTCGGCCGCGTCTCGGGCACTTGCCGGCGCATGCCTCTGAAGCGGCTGAAGTCTGAACCCCTATACACGAGGCTAGTAGCGTGGACAGTTCAAGCGCCGGATGAACTAGCGGCTAGTACTATCCCTGTGTACAGGCACCTTTAGCATTAAAGCTCAAGAAAGCTTTCGCAGGCCGAATACGCTCCCTAAAGGTGCTCCAGCTCCATTGTTACGCCCTAGCCCTCTTATGATTCGCAAAATCAGATGACACAGATGGTTCACCTTCTGTAAACGACTCAGTTTCTGATGATTTTCGTACGGCTTCAACATAGTTTGTCGCTGACTGGCTGCTTCGACGCCAGCACACTGTACGGGGTGCAGATTTTTTTGTCATATACATATAAGGCCATGCAGCAGGCCCCTGAAGGTGAATATATGAAGGAAGAGATAGCTTTAATTCTGAATGACTCGCGGTATTCTCTGCACCTTCTTTCTTCGACATGTAGTTGATGATATTGCTCAACATTCTTTGAGATCCGGAAGTCGATGCAGATCAAGGGAGTTAAGGGGTTTATGGTGGAGCACTGTTGGATTCACGGCCACAATTAAATATATGGTTATGAAATTGCCGAAAGTTTGACAAATCTAGCCATTCCTTAAATTTTCAAGTAAAAAGTTATCTCTGTCTTGAAAGGTAGATCACCTCATAAAACTCTCTCGTCTATAATGAATGGTAACGCTGTCTGAATTATGGTAACGCAGTAGACATGTCATATATTCTGAACATCACAGAATATTCACAGCTTGTTGCGGTCTCGAACGCGCAACTCTTTGCTCCAATTCCCAATTCCGGCCTCCTTGCCGATTAACCCACACTTATCTGCTCCAATCTTGGTACTCTGAACTGTAACCACATGGGCCACCCTGCCCAGGATGAAAGACTCGAATAATTTTTTCTCTTTTTTTTTTGTGACCAGAGATTACTAAAGTGTACTATGGGCCACAGCCACAATTCGCAACCCTCATTTGATTAAAGTATTTCTTAAATTATAGTCAACTGAAGTATTTCCAGAAATTACTAACGTGGTATCGAGTTGATCAGAGATTCCAAACGTGGTAACGAGTTGACCAGAGATTACTAACGTGGACTATGGGCCACCACAATAATCGGATGAAAACTCTTGTCTCCCATTTGTTAGGTTATGCTGGCGTCAGCGCTCAACAGCCCCGGATATTTAAAGTATCTGGTCAAAGTCCAGCTTATAGACCTCCTGTTAACAAGTCATGAAATATTATAAGGATCGGTTACAGGCCAAACTTTGCACATTCAACTTTGGTAACAGGTCATAGGCTGCTTCGCCGGCTAGCGCAAGTGCTGAGTATAAAATGCCAGTAGCAAAGGAAAGTGTTTTGAGTGAAGGGAAGAGATCTAACTCAAACCCTGACGTGCACAGTCCATAGAGTATGTTTCAGACTCAATACTCGATGCCAATATAAATTGTAAAATAAATTCTTCTGTCAAGCGTTATTCCCGAAGAAAAATAATTGCTGAATTTATTCAGCAGAGTCATTCCCTCCCGACCTCGTTAGAAGTTAAATGGAAAGATTATTAATATCGCGAAAAGGGAAGCAGTTCAGTGTTGTTAAAGAATAACATAGCGAAAAGTATCAAGGCGCAAAGATACATAAATTCCGGCCCATACATATATAGTTAAAAACAATAAAAATGTGTTCGATATCTTAGAAAATTATAAACGCTGACAAATGCCAACAGCTGTCAATCACCGAGGAGAGGAGCAGAGTGCCCACTAACTACTCACTCCATGGACAGGTGCTGAATGAAGTCCAAAATGCCGAGGACCTCGACTTTGAATCACAAAGTTTGTAATATGGGAAATACATAGAAGAAACTGCAGCCAAAGCTAACCAATCTCACTAACCCTACGACATCTCAGGGGACGCCCACTGCTACAAAGGCCTGGTACGACCAGTGCTGGACTATGCACGCAAGACCATCCACGAGACAATACAATTAAAATAGCCTGCAGGATGACTTTAGCCCTATATCCAGTGGCTCAAAGATGGTGGCTAGGTTCGAGTTGGACCAGCTCCATCTGGGCATAACGGCAGACAATGCATGCATGCTGTACAGAATGGTGCATTGCATGGTTGATGTCCAACTTCCGTTAGGAGTGTGCCGACCACTCACACGCATAGCAAGGCGACACTAACAGAATTTGCAGGTCTACTACAGCAGAACTTACGTGCATATACATTCTTTCCTTTTACGGGCCTTCAGAATATTGAATACCCTGTGTGCCGACCTTGTGGTAGTCACAAGGCAGTCACCAGTCACACAAGTCGCACCAGGGGCCACGGCTATAAACTAAAAAAAACTGAGGGATAACACATCAATGCGACAACATTTCTTCTCGCTTCGAGTCGCCGAGATGTGGAACAGCCTTCCTGATGGCATCGTTGACGCTCCGAGTATGAACGCCTACAAGATTACAGACTAGGCAAGGCTTTGCAGGAGCATATGTTGAGTCTTGATATGCCTAGCACCTTACAGACCTGGCAGTAAGTCCAGCAGCTATTTCAAATATTCTTCAGTTATGGAAAAATTTGTTTCGAAAGGCTGGTTTCTTGTGAATCTAGTCACGACAAGTACATGAATCGGCAACAGATCATGGGCCTATTTCTTCAGTGCCGACACTTCTATTCTACACCACTAGTCCACTAGGACCACTACCTGCCTCCAAGTTAGACGTACAAGGCTGGCTCAGGGCGTTTCACTAGACATTCGTCATACTTGAAACCTTTTAGCCGTTTTTATCAGACTGCAGAGGTGTCACTAGCTCTTTAAGGAGAGGCGAGCAGAAGCCCCTTAAAATAATCCTAGATACGTCACTGTGTATGTATGTATAAAATGTTGCAATGTGTATGTGCATTTTTGATAGTGAAGATTTCCTTCAATTGTGGAGTATAAACTGTATCATGAAGAAGAAGAAGAAGTATTTGACAGTTATATATGATTGTATACATCAAGCAGACTATCTGCAATATCATATTTCAATGTGAATTTATCGGTTCTGCGACTGCATACAACGAACCTTATTCATTCGACCCTCTAAGTCTTTTCAACCTTCGAGTCGTGGTTGCGGAGTGTGCAATTTAAACACTCCCATTTAAATTAATCATGGCAATGGACAATAGCAATTCCAGCCTATTTAGTTTATTTGGCAGCAGTTATGGAAATAGAGATTCATCTATGAACGTCCCTCGTAAGTTTTTTTAAAGTAATTTTGGCGTAATGTACATTTTTAAGTCTTGAATATGAAATTCAGGGAAGCCTGTGAAGGCAAAGACATTAGCCTAATGATTAGCCCTACCTAGGTTTTCAAACGCGGTATATAGTATGGGAGTGGGTCAGTGGGACATAGTCGACATACCTAAACACATTGTGTCAAAGCAGAAACTTTTTTTATTATTAGAGCACTTCTCTTTAGCTTCACTTCTTTTTTGTTTGTCTGCTTACTCTGCTACAAATCTTATAATAAATATTTAACACACTTCTAACTCCAATAGTTCTGAAAATTTGCACACTCATAAAGTTGGAGAAAATGCTTGAATCAATTGACAGAATAAATAATTTGAAAAATGTAAAAAAGAATAAAAAATCAAAAATTTGTTTTTAGCCTAGCTACCATTTAAAAATAAGAAATTCAGCACACATATGTACCGTGATGTTACTGATGTACCTACGTAACATCAAAGATGGGAGACACTAGCCTAGCCCTTTTTGAAGTGTTGTCTTTAAATAGTAATTTTTACACATATTTTTAAACTCTTTGGCTTACTCTAGTTAATTTTTGAATCCTAATAGGGTAAACGCGGTATATTCCGACACATTAAGGACGCATCAAGAAATGAAAAACTATAAAAAAACCGTATGCGTTACGTAAGTTCTGTTGCCTTCACATGACTCAAAACACTTCACTACGCGTCAGCAACAATGAAACGTCACAAAATGTTGCCATATTTGATGATCTCACCACGTGGCATGCATTGTCTCTCTTTGGATCTCAATATTTTCTCACTAGATGGCCAAGACCTAGTGTTTTTGCAGTATTTTGACACGCAAATGTATGACGTCACCATTTCAACCATCAATGAACGCATGGAACTAAAACAAAGCTTAATATAAAGGAAAAGCTGGAGAGGTGACGGAATTACCTACGATGTCGGAATATACCGCGTTTACCCTAAGTAGACCGGGTTGCCAGACTGCCAGTGAAGTATCATGGATACCTACCAGCATTTGCATTTTCATAGCTATGCAAGATATTGGTTTAAATCTTGAGTAGCCTAGAATAGATGAGGACATTGAAATGAACTGAATATAAAAAATGTGATTTGACACTATGCATAGCGCATAGTGGCATAGACATTAGACTAGGCTAGTTAATATTTGCATCTAGAGTTCAAGACTTTAAACATGCTTTAATTCTTATTAAATTTTATTAAATTGTGTAATTATTACTTGTTATTTTCTAATTTCAACAAATGAACGTGTGTGGCTATGTAATTTGATTCTACATTAATTTCCTCTTGGGCTACGCCGCTACTGGCCTACATAGTGGCAAAGCAGAGAGTTTTTTAGACTCTCCTTCAAGTTCAATTTCAAGTCCTATAAGTAGACCAAAAAAGTATCATGGATACCAGCATCATCATACATAAGATATTGGCTTTAATGGCTTAAATCTTGGGTAAATGAGAAAATTAAAAACGAACTGATTCTAAAAAATCATTGGTTTGCCTTTGCCACTATGCTGGCCTAACTCACACTCTCACAGAAAACTTTTTACAGATACTTTGTTACATACTTGTAATGGGGAAATTCACATGATTTGAGTTTTACATTTTACTTGAAAATTCTGATTTCAGCCTTTTCAGGTGATGAATTTCATGTGTAATGAAGCATGAAAATATGGGGATACAACTTTTATGATAAATTAGCAGCATAAAAACTCATCTAGTTCTTTACAGTTTACATTAGCAATCAATATTCAGAGACTTTTGTAAACCATACATTTGATCAGACCGTGTGGACCAATCAGTTCTGAAAGCAATTTTGTGTGGCTTATATAGTCTAATTATAATTTGTTTAACAATTACCGGTATAGGTATATGATAAGAGAGATACTTAGAAGTTTCTCTGTTAATGGCATTGAAATCAATGTGGAAACATGATTTTTTAATATGTTTTATGCACTTGATGATGTAAAACCCTGATTTAAATAAGTTTTTATTTAAAAAAAAATCTAATTTCTTGTCAGTCTAGGGTAGACTAGAATTTTTGGAAATTGGAATAGGACTGGATGCAGTCTACAGTCCTGTCCCCAGTAAAGTGAACTGGATTCAGTCTACAGTTCAGTCTGCAGTATAGTGGACTGGATGCAGTCTACAGTATAGTGGACTGGATGCAGTCTGCAGTATAGTGGACTGGATGCTGTCTACACCACAGTGGACTGGATGCAGTCTACACCACAGTGGACTGGATGCAGTCTACACCACAGTGGACTGGATGCAGTCTACCATCCACCACACAGTAGAGTGGACTGGATGAACTGTTGTTGTTGTTGGCTGACACTGTCTTTTGTTTACTTGGTTTGCAGTTGTTGTTTTGTGAGGGGTGATGCTAGTGTGCTCTGGAACAGTTTGTTGATTGATCCAAAATCTCAAAATACTATGTTCCTTATAAATTTAAACCATCAAACAGGGTAATAGGGGGTGGGTGGAGTAAATCAAGACAGCCCTCTGGCTTGGAGTAAAAATGTTATAGCAGCTAAAGTAATTAAAATATTGCAAAACTAAAATTAGTGGTGTAAACATCCATTTTTTTCCTATCTATGTAGCATAAAGAAAGTTAAGAAATCATACATTTACTAGCTCTAAAAAATCTGTGAAAAAATTAAATGAAAAGTGATATTTTGGAAAATTACTTCAGCTAAGGTCTGTAGTAAAAAAATATTTGCAGGATTAAAAAATTTTGCTTGAGTAAAAGTTGCAGGCAGGTGTTGGCTTCAAAACTTCACTTATGGAGTATTTGTACCTCAGTCCAAAACAAAATGGCAGCCATTTTTGCATAACAGGGTAATGTAAAAGACACCCCTAAAATTGCATTTCCAATAGAACCTCAGTTAGCAAAGGCTCTAGTTAACAAAAAAAATTGAATAATTACAAAGTATTTTGATTAAATTTACTTGACTTGGTGAAAATAATTTCATTTAATGGAAAATTAATGCATCATCAGCCATCACAAAATTGTGCATAGAATATCATAGGTAGAATTTTGTGCTGGGCAACATAGAATGAAAAGTAATTAACCTAAACTAAGATTCATTTCTCAAAAAAATATAATAGTTGTCACTAGAATATTCTTTTCTGTTTCATGTATGTTTTTTTTACGATCTTTTCTTGTTATAGTGAATTCACCTAACGGCCTAACCCAATTAAAATGGTGTGAAATTACAAGCTCAGTCCTGTAAGCTTACAGATACTGAGTAAATTCTATACAGAACAAATCTGGTGACACTTTGAGCATAAAAACCTGATTTTGGTGACAAAGGTATTCAAAATATGTATCTCCTAACAGAGTTCATATAAAATGATAATACTCTCTGAGTTCCTACATGAACATTTTTGTTTTAATTTTAAAATATGCTCAAAACATTTTCCAATAAAGCTTGAGTCTAGACTTTTTAATTTGGAATGTGTGTGTATATATCTACAAAATTAACTAAGACTTGTTAGTCTTTTTGATAACTGGTGTAGTATTGCACACTCATCTGCAATAAATAAGATCCATTTATGATAAAAAATATCACTGTTTACATTAGATGATTAGAGTTTCTGGGGATTTTTTATGTGTAATTTTCTAAAATATTTTGGATTGTAATGTGCAGTATAATGATGCATTTAATTTTTCAGTGACAAGTACTCCAGCATCCTCTCAGCTGTCACCTTATTTATCAGTGGACCCATCTTATCTTCAAAACCAGCCTGAATTTATACCTCTAGAAGGAGCACAGCCTAGGAGAGGCCGTTTTGAGCTTGCCTTCTCCCAAATTGGAGGTTTGCAATCGTCATGATTTTTTAATCTTATTACAAGATTCTTCATTGATTTATTTGTGTTCTAGTTTATCCATCAATAATTGATATTCCTGAAAATACTTGTTAAAATAGAAATAAATGTGTACAAATAGCTTGAGATTTATTTTTTTTTGTCTCAAATACTCTCAGAGGAAGCATTTGCAGCAAATTTGTTGAACCCATCTTCAGATAACATAAAGAAAATGTATGCTATTACGTATAAAATCAGCAATATATGACAGAGTGTTTCCTGCAGGCCTGGTGATGCTGGGAGGCAGCATAGGTGGTGTTCAAGGACTATATAAAGGCCTGCAAGAGACAGCAGTGGCTGGACACACTGGCAAGATCAGACGAACTCAGTTAGTATCATTTATTTTAGTTTCATGCTGTTATCTTGCTCCTTCTTTTAGTTCAAACATTTGCATTCAAATATCAGCTTCCAACTTTCACCTATGTTTCTTACAAGTTAGGAGCATTTGTTCAAAATGCTTTTCGCCAGCCATTGTTTTGCAATTACAGATTTTTTATTCCTTTATTTTACTTTAAACTAAACCATGAACAAGCAGATATCTAGTTGATTTTTTTCTAACTCTCTAAAGATGACTTTAATTTTCTGCAGAGTGATAAACTTTGTGACGAAGCGCGTATCAGGCTCTGCCAACACTCTGGGCACGATTGCTGTGCTTTACTCCGCCCTTGGCTGCATGCTCTATTGGGGTCGAGGCAATAAGGAGGACAGCGCTAACACTTTACTGGCTGGTTCTCTTACTGGTAAATGAACTATAGTATACTATTTTAGCATTAAACTATAGTGGCAGGTCAGGACTCCGCATGGAAGTTGAACTAGAGAGTTCAAAAGGAAAGTAACCACAAAGGCTTCATGAATGCAAGCATTCTGCTCTGATTTTACCTGGCATATTCCTGTAAATAACAATCACATTCGCTCGTTCTTACATGAACATCTTAAGAAAAGAAAATGACAAGAGCAGTGTACTTATTAACTGTTACTATGGTTCCCATAAACATTCTTAGACATAAATATAGTTGTCTTTCGAAATCACATTTTAAATTTCAGGCATCTCTGAAAATGCAGCCAGTGCTTAATTACTCATTAGACCGTTTTTATTTATTTCTTTGTAATGAAAAGCCTCAAGTTATTTTATCCCCTTGTGCAGCAATAGCTCATTTATGAGCTTCAATATGTGGTTGTCACCTGTCAAGAAAATAGGAAATAATTCGGAACGTGCAAACCTTAATTATAGGTGTAGTTTGACAGAAGTTGTTCTTTAATGCAGGTTTCATTGAAGACCAGAGAGTATTTCTTATTGACAATTTTCTTGTAATTTTTCTCTATTCGGCGAATCAGGCTCTTGATAGGAACTTAAAAGTTAAATATCAGGTTTCCAAGGAACAATTTATTATAATTTTTTACGACGTTTCGGAAAAATGTCAATGAGAAATACTCTCTGGTCTTCAATGAAACCTTAATTATTAAAGACTTGATAAGCTGAGTAAGTAATAATAAATGACGTTTATAGCTCGAGCTCATGAAATTGTCTTGGCTGCAGGTGCGCTATATCAGTCCTCTGGGGGACTACGCAAGGCTGGTATTGGTGGCGTTGTTGGCTTGGCTCTTGCAGGCTTATTTGTTGCATGCACTTCTCGTGACAAGATGAGAGACTACAATTCCAGGTAAAGGCGGCACTGCTAAAAAATGTATAGTTTTTTTAAGTTAAATGTTCAAGGCTTGCTTAAACAATTTCAAATTCGTTGGTAGGCATTACTGCATAGTCCAATGTGTCGGTTTTATCAACAATATTCATGCTGGAGGCTATACATAAACTTAAGAACGAAATAATAACTTGACGTTTGAACTCACCAGCACGGTTTACGCTAAAATTTGTTAGAATCTTGAACGTTTCTTTCTCAATTAAACGTGGTATGCTGACAAAATATGTTAATCTATAAAAAGAATTCGGTAAATGTTACCCATGAAATTAATTGTATAACATTCTTGAAAGCTTCTCTATTTTTGAAGCCCCCAATTGCATCATACCATCCAGCCTACATGTTCAACTATCGCTTCCAGTTGATTGTGACGACAATTTTCTCATTTGGTACCGAGTATAAAGTGTCTATCTTATTTATATGTGTCTAAGTTTGTTTCTGGGTTTGTGTGTTTGAAGCATAGCACCGTAATTATAAAGGAGCATTTGGGGCGCGTACCCGGGATAATTATCGTGTGTACTTACCAGAATCTAAAAATTTCATTCTTATTGAAAGAATAGGAAAAATGTAGGAGGCAGGAATGGATTGGATTTTGTTATTTAAAGGACGTAAAATAGTTTTTCCATATTTTGAAACGAGAGTAAAATAGTAGTCCTCTCTTCTATGTAAAATGTGGGTTTGAAGGAATCTTAATTTGATTATGATAGAATACATAGGCTTCAGTATTATTAACGGGACTAGAATTTCAGAAATAACGAAATTTCGGATTACTAGGTTTCAAAATTTCAGGAATTATGAAGCCCGGGCTATTGCGAGCTAACTTGCTTTTGGAATCTCTTTTTGTCAAATTTTCATGATTTGCACTAATAACTCTTGTGTACTTGAAGCTGCCAGGTATAAGCAGGGTGAACATGTGTGCCCTCTCCAGGTACTGAAGTGCTGGTGTACGTTCCTGGTGCAGGAAAGAAGATTGCAGAGTGGTTGGAAATTGATATACAACATCTCCACCTCTCTCACAAGGGATATGTTCTTCTGTCTCCAAAAATAAAATCTACGGTCTGTGAGCACTAACTGATTTTCCTTCTTTAGGAACTTTTCAGAAGAAAATTGGAATGTAGTTTCATTTCCTTAATAGTTTATTTAAAATTTGGAGACAAGCCGACAAATCAATTATGATCAATTGCAAGGTTTTCGTTTGCGCAATGATTATGCCTTGGTTGCTCAGGTTTGTGCCATTTTCGAAAAAATTGTGGTTATTCGTCCTCATTACGCAGACATATTAGGGCAATTATCTTCCCTTGTAATGTATATATTTATTCGTATATTGTTCAGAAAGCACCTTGTCGTCACTAATGTGAACTCCATGTTTCAATACCAATTCTGTACATACGATTTGCGAACTGTTACGAATTAGGAAGGTTCAAATAAAGTGCCGTCAACCCTGTAGGTGTTTATTTCTTCATCCTAATAGTACTTCAAGTTACTCGAGTAGATAGTGATAGAATAATGGTCAACATATTATAAGCCTGTGGAATGTTCCATCCCGCGAGACAATACGGCAGACGTAACGCAACAGACGGGGAAATTTCGAGGGGCAGAAGGTAGGAGCGCAGCTCACCACACAAAGGGACGGACTCGGAAGAATGGTAATGAATTGACAAGATAAACGCCAAGAAAAAATTTGTTTCCTCGACGAAATGCAGCGAAGAGGGAACAAGAATAAAAAGCAACGGGTGTTCATTGAGCAGAGCACATGGCACATCCATACATTACAGCTCTAGACCAGGAGAACGAAAAAATATTAGCAAGTTTTGCATAGACTTCGATCTGATGAATCCTCGTCTTTGACGCGGAATCAGAAGTGGCAAGAAGATAATCCTACTTAGAGTTGACGAAGCAGAGCAATCACAACACAACTAAATGAGAAAGAATTGCGATCTTCAACTCTTTGCCTGTATGTTACCTTTGAATGTTTATGTTTAATTGTTTGTTAGAAATCGCTTGTACCATGTAATCGCTTTTGAAACTAGTGCAGATGTCTGACGTCAGTTTAGGATGAGCGTATTACTCATCGGGTACCGGTGGTAGCAGTAGGCATGTGGTGCCTGAACTGAACTATAACATCGCTAGTCCAGTTCGCCGCGAGATGCAAGCAACCGGCGATCTCAGTAGGCATGGGTAATTTGAACAGCAGCACATCTTAAATACCAGATAATTCTTAACGATACGTAGAGATGAATGGAGGCGTAACAAAGCACTAATATATACAGAAGACACGTGCTGCGCAGCAAGAGGTTGAACGCACATTCTACGAATAAAGCGTTTGCTTGCCTAGTTGACCTTACAGCAGTGACGGTCTAGAGTCTAGACTAGTCAGTAGCCAGATATGCGTTATTTTGATCTGATCATTTCTTGCCATGGGTTTATTATGTATCATTTATTTTCATATTTAAATTTATACTTTGATCGCAGAATTCTTGGCCATATCATATTATATAATTATATATTATCACATTTCTTAAAGAAACAAAAGTTCAAGATTATAACATGAAATCGTCTGGAAAGACTCAACATTCGGCACATTCCTCACGGCCAAGCGAGGGAAATGTTTTCATTCAATTCCACGTCGTGGCTTGACAAGAAAATACAAAACTTAAAATCGTTTACCAAGTTTGAATTTTTACAAACATTGTAAATTGCCGATTTTAAATGAGAATAAAACATTCTCAGTATTGCTGACATTCCAAGCATGGAGATTGGAGACATCGCATTTAAATTATTGACATTTTACGATATGGTAGAAGATTAGTGGAATAGTATTAGAAGTAGACGGCTGGTGGTTGAAGTTAGGTCGGGACTATTATTGCATGCGCTGGTTATGCGAGCGTCTTGATATACAATATAAAAACAATTAGGATGTTCAGGAGTCAAGATAAAACGTGTGCATCGAATCGATACAAGCGCATATAACACCTACGTACAATTGTGCATTAATTCATGTAATAAGTACTATCTTCAGACTTGAATCCTCTAAACGCAAGTTCCAGCCTTTGTGTCCCCGAGAGAGAACGATGCGTCATGAGCAGCTAGAATAGTTCCTCGCGCCCAGTCTTCGTATAAACACAATAAAATGTATAACAAATTACGCAAAGGAAAACCACTTCATGTTGCAATAACCTGACCAGCCAAACGTCGAGTTCATCACGAATAATATTTACAATAAATCCTTGGAACATAAGTGAGAGAATCGCTCACTTTATGGACATAAATAAATCCGATAAATTAAAGGAATGTCGTAGAGTAAAATCCTTCACCTATGTATTTGTTATAGCAAAATACAGCCCCGAGCACAATTATTCTCCGGTGAAGACTGAATCCCTGAGATTTTCACAGAAATTAGATAAACTGTAGCGGCGTCCATGGGAGTCGTGCAAAAAAAAGTATGCATTGATTCTTGTGCCACTATAAATCCGTTACCTATACGATGAATTTGAATATCTTTAGGTAGTGTCATCAGATATTTTAGGAGAACAGTAAGACCGTGCCAATCCGCGCTGAGGACTTTGTAAACAATCACAAACCACGAACACTGTCAATCACTTTCCACGTCCTAATTTAAAGTAGGACTTTTCAGAATTACGAGATTTGAAAAATAATGAGGAAAGTTTGAGGACAAATCCCTTTATAATTCAGGCACTATCGAAATAAGATATTATTCATCACTTGTTTACGAATTGATAGTTGCTTACAACAACTTTTTCTCTCGGCCTTTTTGCTACAAATAAAATTCTTACCAGAATGGACGGTAACTTAATATTGCTGAGGATACAACCGAGGGCGCTGTTCCGTAACTGATAATGGTCAGCGGCAGAAGTAAATCTAGTTATTACGAGTTTTGAAACCATTATATTATTTCAATATCATAACAGTGGATTACAAACTAAACGACATAAAGCTCATGGAAAATATCGTGCTAAGATGAGCACTGCAGTCTTTAAGACGGCATCACTTCGCTTACAAAGAGATCATAAAACTGAAACCTTAAGTGGCGACTAGATGCGACGTGATGACTTCAGAAGCAGGATTTTGAACATAAAACAGCATCTGATGTAGCCACTTGGTTTAGATTTTGGCTTAACCACTTTGCGTTCCGTTTAAATTGTAACTTGTAGAAACGATGGCCGCAGCATTTGGAGATATATCGCTTCAATACCCGTTTTCTCTCCCTCGCCTTCACTTCTAACCGGCGCTACTCACTGACCAACTTAAGAAGAAATATTGATTAAAAAATCTCATCATGGCAAGTAACTCGAAACCAGGTAACTGGAAACACTCACTGTTTGATCACGTCATTCAGAGAAGTCAAACATTTTGTTAACAACAGCCAACAATAAAGCCAACAATGAATCACTTTATTGATGGAATTATGTTGCACAGCAAACTTTCACGAGAACAATGTCTTTAAGATGGGACACCATGAATTTCTTCCTTTTGCAAAAAATTGCAGGAAGTATAAGCGCTTATTTCTTATTAACTTATTATTTCTACAACAAGCGTTCTTGGTATGAACTGACGAACTATATGATGTCGACAGCGATTTTTAAATCCTACAGATCAAGATATCGATCATGAGATGTGCAAACGAAGAGCATATGCTACCCCGTAACTCAAGATCTGAACCTATGCAATACGCGGACAAGGAGAAGAAGTGGTAATAATCATATCAAAGCTGGAGGTAGGGTCATATCCTAGCTGGAGGTAGGGTCATATCCTAGCTGGCCGCAGAACCTCCGCAGCTCATCCTGGTGCCAAGAGGCGCGTAGTAAACCCAGTTCTCACCGAGCAAAGAGAACTGCTTGGTTTGCCAGGCTTCGCCGGCTTCTTTTCTTTGCTTAGCTTCTTCACGCTGCTTCTGCTCCAGCGCAGACTTGGCCTCTGTTGCCGCCTCAATGTTGTTATACCTGCATGGCATATGGTTACTTATTTCGTCTTTTTTGTGACATGACTCGTTTGATATATATACGTGGAGCAAAACTGGCGTTGAAAATAATGACATAAAGCAAACATTTAAAGGAGAACAGTTATATATATATATACTACACGCTCCTACATAAACGGAGCGAGTCTCACTTGAGTCCCGCGGTACACTCCTTCCAGAGCGCTCTGCTCTCGTTGGGATCCTGCTGGGCGATGGGCCGCACCTGCTTGCGCACAATGCCCATCGAGCGCGTGTCTATGAAGGTCTCAGTGCGCTGCAAATATTCAACACATCATTTCTAAAACACTGCTTAAATAAACTAATCGGCGGCCATACAGACTGACGGGGATTTTACTGTATTCAGGTATGAAAATATTCCTGCAAATATTCAACACATCATTTCTAAAACACGGGCTAAATAAACTAATCGGCGGCCATACAGACTGGCGGGCATTTCATTGTACTCAGGTGTGACGATTCCTGCAAATATTCAACACACCATTTCTAAAACACTGCTTAAATAAACTAATCGGCGGTCTTACAGACTGACGGGGATTTTACTGTGTTCAGGTATGAAGATATTCCTGCAAATATTCGACACATCATTTCTAAGACACGGGCTAAATAAACTAATGGGCGGTCATACAGACTGACGGGGATTTCACTGTATATCCAGGTATGAAGATATTCCAAATCTAATTGATCAAGAGCGGCAAACAGGAAGGTTTGGGCGCACAACGCTCACAGGTAGTCCTGGTCAACGTAACCCCGCTCACATGTAACGTGGTATTAAGAGGACTGTCAAGTGACGATACTCACGCCGTCCTCAGACCATTTAGCAGTCATGGATCCGTTCCACTCGCCGTCCACGGTTAGAAACGGTTTCTTTTCACCAGGACTAAAAACCTCCGCAGACACCCGATGCTTCTTGCCTCCATAGAAAGGCTAAAAAAAGAAAAAGGCTCTGTAAATCCAGACCAGGCCTCAGTGCAGAATTTATAACAGAAAAAAACGGTAGCCAACAAAAAATATCGCACAATTATTTTAAAAGAAAATTCAATTGATTCGTTAAGTAAAAAATGAGATCATCACTATCGAGGATCAGATGTAATGGTACTTGCTAAATAAGTATAATTATTTTTGAGTCAACTTACCTTGGTGAGGAACTCAACGTTTGCGTTGTAGCCCGTCTTGCTGCAGGTGATCTGGCAGGAGCCACCAAGCTCCACCCACGGCACCGTCAGGATGGACCTTCAACAGAACATTGCAATGACTCACGGCACCAATGATACCTTCAGTGTCATCGTAACATGAAATTTGCTACCAGCGCGTGCCAGCTGTGGAGGTTTCGCTCACGAGCAAGACTCGTAAGTTGATGATGTCTGCAACACACCTGCCGTAGCCGCTGGGGAAGTTGATGATGCCTGCCAACACACCTGCCGTAGCCGCTGGGGAAGTTGATGATGCCTGCCAACACACCTGCCGTAGCCGCTGGGGAAGTTGATTATGTATTCCTCGTCGTGGTCCAAGACACTGACGCAGCCCTGGCCGATGTTGTAGACACACACGCTCAGCCCCAGGAACTTGGACTTGGTCCAAATGTGTCCGCAGAAACTGATGCGCTTGGCGATGTTCTCCGCATAGAAGGCAGAGATGGGCGGGTGGTGCGACACCTAACACATAACATTGTCATTAAGAAGAGGATCTGCCTCAAACTGTTTGGAACACAGAGAATGAGTCTTTGTTGAAAATGTTGATAAAATTCAGATTTCAGATATAATTATAAAATTACTCTTAAAACCACCTGTGAACGGTGGACATCGTTCACAATTACGCGCGAACATTTTAATCTCGTGTGCATACTGAAAACCACATCTAGCGTAGCCGCCTTAGTAACATTGATGCCGGACCTTACTTGGGCGGTAGCGACGTAGTGCAAGGTCAGGTCTGAGCGGCTGTAAGGCTGTTAGTCAGTTGTGTCCCGCCAGCCCTACAGTCAGGTTCTAACTTGAACTCACCTCTCTCCGTTGCTAAGTTAGCGATCTTGTGCTCCAACGCTAGTTCTTGTGGCTGTGCTCTAAATGCTTTATCAAGTAGTGTAATGTCTATTGAGCTGGTTCTGTTATTTTTAAACGTATCCCTTTCAAGTGCCCTTTGTTGAAATAAAACTAGTACGTTATATCTGTGTAACCGAAGTTTTAATGGAAGACATCCCAGTGCAATAAAGTGCAATTTAACTAGTAGCAGAGTCCTTGAACTTTTACAAGATAGTTGCCGGCGTTTGGCCGTAAGGGCTCTGATCATTCTGACACGTTTAAAGGTTGCGGCAGGCGTCCGGTGACAAACCAATGAAGGAACTCTCAAGAAAAACTCGTAAATACAACTACAATAATCACGTCCAAATACAACAACAATAATAACAAGTCGCAAGTAATTTAATAGATTTAAATAATAAATACAGATTAACGGGGCAGAACTGCAGAGCAACAGAAAAGTGGTGACTATATCAGCGCTGTAGTTAATACAATAATACTCTGAAGTCAATATTATAAAGTCATGAAAAAATCTTTATTGTAGTGAAACACACCTAAACCACGTAAAATAATTTAGAAATAAATGCCTGTATGGGGACAAGGCAGATCTGTCATACAGACTAAATAAGACAGACCTGTTATACAGACTAAATAAGACAGACCTGTCATACAGACTAAATAAGACAGACTAAATAAGACATACTAAGTAAGACAGACTAAATAAGACAGACTAAATAAGACATACTAAGTAAGACAGACTAAATAAGACAGACTAAATAAGACAGACTAAATAAGACAGACTAAATAAGACAGACTAAATAAGACAGACTAAATAAGACAGACTAAATAAGAGACTAAATAAGACAGACTAAATAAGACAGACCTGCTCGGCGACGAAGGCGAGCTGGTCGTCTCTGACCCAGCGGAGGGGCTTGCCAGGCTCGTCCCCAGGGCGTCCGCTCCTGCCGCCGCAGCTCTGCTCGCCTGGCACGTCCCAGTGACATCTGCACCAACGACATACCATTTACCACCAATAACATACCATGTACCACTAACAACATACGATACCATGTACCACCACCAACGACATACCATGTACCACCAACAACATTCTATCAGTTACCACCAACTGCATCCATATTTTTATCTTGATAATATACGGCCTCTTTCCACGAGAATGCATCATAATTTACATGTATTCACTCTACGCTATTATGATGATGCACAACATAATGTGTATCTCAACATTTACAACAAGAATTTCCGTGCAGAACAAATAGGGGAATAATACGCCTGATGAAACGTGGTTAAGACTCTTGGATAGCTGTGCAGGGTAATATTCTGTAATGTGTATCTATCTCGAGCCAAGAGTACAACGCTCAAGTGATGAAATTATAAATGTAAATCTGACACACGACACGACAAGCTTCACAGACAGTGGAAGTAAGTAACTAAAGAAGGATGTACATGCGGTATTCCAATCTGTAACGCTTACGTAGCTAGACTATTTATGTATTAGGGCAACACAGATTTCTTCTAGGTACCTGATGATCGGTGAATCATGATGAGTCCATAGATAACAACATGCATGCTTTTTGGATAACGATACATATTTTATCCTCAGAATTATTTCTTCATTACGAGCTGCATATTTTAACACTTTATCCTCCGATAAATTGGGGTTGTAATGTACCTGAAGACCTCCCCTATGATGGGGTTGTAATGTACCTGAAGACCTCCCCTATGATGGGGTTGTAGGGCTTCTTAGCCACCTCGCTGCGGCGGCCGGCGTGGAAGGCGGAGAGATACCAGCGCAGCACCGTCACCATGCGCTGCCTGGCGTCCTTGCCGTGTGGGATGCTGGCGACAAATACGTATATTAGTGACACTAACATTGATTATGTTACTGACATTAACATTGATTATGTTACTGACATTAACATTGATTATGTTACTGACATTAACATTGATTATGTTACTGACACTAACATTAATTATGTTACTGACACTAACATTAATTATCTTACTGACACTAACATTAATTATCTTACTGACACTAACATTAATTATNGGTCAGGGTGGTGGCAGCGTTACCTGCAGAAGAGGTCAGGGTGGTGGCAGCGTTACCTGCAGAAGAGGTCAGGGTGGTGGCAGCGTTACCTGCAGAAGAGGTCAGGGTGGTGGCAGCGTTTACCTGCAGAAGAGGTCAGGGTGGTGGCAGCGTTACCTGCAGAAGAGGTCAGGGTGGTGGCAGCGTTACCTGCAGAAGAGGTCAGGGTGGTGGCAGCGTTTACCTGCAGAAGAGGTCAGGGTGGTGGCAGCGTTACCTGCAGAAGAGGTCAGGGTGGGCGAAGAAGTCCGCGTACATCTCCAGCAGGGAGCGCCGCTCGAGGATGAAGGTTGGCAGCACAACCTTGGTCAGGTCCATGCCGATCTTGACCTGGACAAATTAACTCAAAGTTAAAATCAATATTTCAAGAAAAAGAATCAAGTGGCAAGGAAAAGAATCAAGCGGCAAGGAAAAGAATCAAGCGGCAAGGAAAAGAATCAAGCGGCAAGGAAAAGAATCAAGCGGCAAGGAAAAGAATCAAGGGGCAAGAAGGTGGCGTCAAACAAAGATGGTCGAGAAACATATTAATCTTGTTTAAGATTGTAAAGTCTTGAATGTGGAATATCAATATTTACAGCAAAATCAGTGTATCAGAATAAAGAGAAATTGAGCAGTTAAATGTCAAAATTAATTTGATAAGAGTCGTCTTATGTTGCTTCCTCGCATGTCTGTGTTCATTTATTGAAGTGCTGTATATTTTATTGATTATATTAGAGGAAAAAACTTCGGTCGAGTGAAGGAAATAAAAGGTTGTAAATGTAGGACAGACAGTCATATAAGGAGGATAGACTGGACCATATAAAGATGACTGGGCCATTTAAGGATAGAACGGGTCACTAGAGGAGTATAACCAAGCCATCTCGGGAGGACGCACATGGCCGTTTATGGAGCATAGGCTAACCTAACCTAACTAGCCAACTAAAGGTAAGGCTTGTTAGGGGCGATAAGATATAGCGAGGCGAGAAGATGAAGTTGAGATGCAGCGTTAAGATAAGATGCCGCGTTTAGATAAGATGCAGCGATAAGGACCTGCGAGATGAGATGTTGGATAATGAAGCCGTGGCTCTCCATGGAGACCTGATCGTCCTCATCATCTTCATCGTACAGGGCGTCGTAGTCCACACCTCCTGCTGGACATATACACGAGTTAGACAAAGTAAGGGAAACGACTGAGAAATTCACAAATATGTTCTAGTATCGTGTAGGTCCACCTTTTGCGGTAATTACAGCCTCAATTCTCCCAGGTATTAATTAGTTCAAATTGTGAATTGTTTCCAAAGGAATTTTTACCCATTTTTCAGTTAAACTTAAACTCCCTCCAGCTCATATAAAGACGATGGCGGTGGGAATCGACTTCTAATTTGCAAGTGTAAAATCGACCATAAATGCTCGATAATATTTAGGTCTAGTGATTGTGGTGGCCAGATGAGATTTTCAATTGCATTAGAATGTCCCTAGTGCCGTTTTTTAGCAATACCAGTTGCATGGATCTGGGCATTATCATCTTGAAAGATGGCGTTCCCCACCGGAAACAGCGCTTGAACCGTTGGATAAACTTGCACTACTAAAATTCCTAAATATTTACGGCTGTTGATTCTTCCATGAAGATAAATCATTGGTCCGCCGGATTTTCAAGAAATAGCACCCCAGATCATCACAGATCCACCGCCATGTTTTACGGTTGGCAGGAGGCAGTCGGGATTAAATGACTCTTTTGTCTGTCTCCAAACGTAAACTCGGCCATAGGTTAGAAATAAGATAAAAGATTATTCATCTGAGAAAATCAAATTTTTCCAATGCCCGAGGGGCCAATTCTGGAGGTTTTTACATCACTCTAAACGCTTTGAAGCATTTGTATATGAAACCAGATTTTTAAATTGCAGCTCTTCCATAGAATCCGTATCTGTGCAGCTCTCGGCGGACAATCTTTAAGGAAAATTGGTTCTGTAGGTGTCCATTGAGGTCTGCAGTAATTTTAACAGCCGTGGTCTTTCGATTGTCCCTCACATTTCGATTTATGTACCGACGGTCTCTCTCAGACAACTTCGATTTTCGGCCAGACCTGTGCTTTGCTGTGACGTTTTTCCTTCTCATTCAAAAGCAGCCATTACTTTTGAGACAGTACCTCAAGTTTATATGTATGTACGGCAGTTAGCTATATTAAAAATTTATAGTTAGTTGTGGTACAAACCAGCATGGAACTACCGAGCTACTTTTGTGAATCGGTACACTCGACAAAATCGAATTGTAGGTTCTTCTCAGCTTAACGGGACACGAGGACTATGTTAAGATTGCAATGATAACAGCCTTGCAAGATGGTACGAGGGCTCGGGAGCGCGGCAGCATCACGATACGACTTCTCATATCTCAATTGATATTGAAACGGATACGGTATGATACTAAAATTATGTGACATGGAGAAGACAAAAATGTAATAATAAACAGTTTATAGACCTAATTTAAGTCACCAGGAAGCTGTTCCGGCACACGAACATGGACGACAAGCATGAGCTGGAATGATGTGCGCTGCGTAAGATGCCATGACAAGGATGACTCCGTTCAGTTTATTAGTTAACATGATACAGATGGCATTTAAGGCCTGGATTTAGTATAGTGGCATTAAAGCCTGTATTTAGTATAACCAGAACATTAACTTGACTTGTGAATAAAGCAGCAGCAGCAGCAGCAGCAGCAGCAGCAGCAGCAGCAGCAGCAGCAGCAGCAACATACCAGCGTTGGAGGCAGGAGGTGCAGCAGCCAGCGGGGGTGTGGAGACGACGCTGGAGTTCTTCATGTCTGCAACACAAGCAACGTTGCAGGTCACGTTGTGTAGTGCTCGAGCAGCAGCTTCTCAAACGCAAGCGTTAACATATTTTAGAAATACTCAATAAGTTAAAAATACTTAAATTCAATTATAAATATCTCAAAAGCTGAATACATGAGGCTATATTGAACCACTCAAGATTTTTAAATTTTCAATCTAAAAAGTTTAGGGTCCTTAATTCCAAAAACAAAACCTCAAATGAAGTTTCTAGCTACTTGACTAAATGATAGAATCAAAATGCTTCAAGAATTAATAAATAAAGGTAACGCTAAGTTAATTTACCAGATTTACATCTAGAACATGGCGTTTTTCGGTCTCTTAAATTCGTGGTTAATTTGTAATACAAGCAAACTACTTATATAATTACTTGAATACTTCTTTAAAATTTATAAAATAGTTGAACAGACCGCGTGCAGAGGAGGAAGACTCCGTGGAGTTATAGGAGTCGACGCGGCGAGCAGAGTCTGCCAGGAGTCCCTCAGCCGAGCCGTCTGTGTGACCGTCATCTTTGCACGAGTCTCCGTCGAACAACTTAGGCCCACTGCAACACAATTCAAATACTAAGCCAATATACCAAACTGCGTCGAACAACTTAGGCCCACTGCAACACAATGTAAATCCTAAGCCAATATACCAAACTCCGTCGAACAACTTAGGCCCACTGCAACACAATTCAAATACTAAGCCAATATACCAAACTGCGTCGAACAACTTAGGCCCACTGCAATACAATGTAAATCCTAAGCCAATATACCAAACACGACAAAACGAGAAAGATGATTCAACGGCAAAGCAGATAAGAAAGAGTAAAAATGATAAAAATTCACGCGTTTATTTGCAATAGAGAAATTCGTTTGACGAATCGTCGAAGATGGAAACGAGTTTATTCATGGAAAGGAGTGGAACTTAACAATTAACAATGAAGATTGAAGAATTCAAAAGGCGACCAAATGAGAAATTAAAGCGAAAGAGACGCTAGACTAAAAGAATATAAATCGAACAGAACAGAATGCGAATCAGCAGCAGTAAAAAGTGCGAACATGGAGACAAAAAAATAAAAAAATTAAAAATTACGAAAATTTCGATAATGCTTCGGAGACACTACAAAAAACGACGACACCTCCACAATGTCGGTGGTCAAAAGAATTGACGTCGAAGGAATTTATATCAGAAGCAGATATTGGCGATTTAATTACGCATGCATACTTCACATTTAAACTGGCAGGGCAACCCGCTTTGCCCAGGATGGATAATTTCATGAAATTTGAGGATACCGTTATGCTGAAACCTGTCATTCTGAATAGAAAAACTAAACTAGAATTTGTTAATTGAAAACAAACCCGGTCACGTCCCCCCTCAGTGAAAAAGGCGCCCAAATTTAAGCCAAGTCCCTCCCCACTCGCCCTCTCCAACGTCTCATGTCTGCATCGTTATACATTTTCATTCACTGCTACGACATGTATCCAAGATACGCATATAAATCCTTATATAGGGGGCGGTCAACTTCATTACTTTGGGAGATATTCCTTGCTCACTGAATTTGGAGACCGGCTGCAAGTCCGGCTGTAAATTTAAAGCGCGTATCCACGATACTTATCGTGACGGAATATTTCCTGGCCCTGAACATTTAATCTTATAGAGCGTGGCAATGCATTGAAAAACTTGGAAGGAAAGATTTAGATCAAAAATTAAAGTCAATTTTTAAATTGTTTATTATGCACTTCATTTAAGTGACACAAAATGTTTTTTTTTTTCATAATATGAAACGATAGTCAAATGGGATTTCTATTTTCTATGTGAAATATTGGTTTGAATGGACCTTTCTTCGAATTATTAAAGAAAAAATGAGCTATATTATTTAGAATGAAAGGATTCTAAAATTGCAGGGAATATTGATCCCGGGCAACGCCAGGCTAACCAGCAACTAAATAAATCTAGCGTGGACCAGAACGAAGACAAACTTGACTCACCACACAGATATCCTCCTGATGTACGTGACAAGCGTGGAGCCTCCTACAGGGGCACCGCCCCCCGAAATAACGTTCACAGGACTGCACTGCTGCTTAGCTTTGCTGCTAATGAACGACCACATGACTTACTCGAATGCTGCGCCAACCTCGCCCCATGCAGTCTGGGACATTCACTATTACTGTCTCAATGTGCAACTTCTATTTACGCTCCAGACACGTGAACGTGTTGTAATTTAACGCGTCTTTTCAAACACTACGTATCGGAACGTGTTTTCACATTAACTACCCGCATCAACTTGTTTTCTTCTTCACAGCGCATCTTTCTGAGTCTTCTCGTTCACTATAGGCGAGTATCAAGCCAAATAATGGACACTTCACCACCATAAGTATGTCCCCTCACTCACGACGTATCTGCATATAGCTGAACCACAGCACTAAACAGCCTGCAAACGATCTGCGTCACTTCAACAGGAGGAGCAATATAGCATCATCAAGATGCCGTCATTGTGCAAGAGTAATGTCAACAATATCTCTGTTATCTGAAGCGCCCTTGCAACCAACAAAATATCACAACTATGTGTGTCTTTCTGTAAGGTAACAACGACATATGATTTTTTCTGCGACAAAAATTTACAAGCAATATAATTTACACTTCTTCAGCACCTTACCGGAATTTCGACTGGAGTGACTCAGACCTTACAGGTAATTGGTCCAGCTATAGAGAACTTCAATTGGGCCGCTTTGAACGGCTGGTGTTTAAATAAGAAATTAAGTTGACCTTATATATGTGGCTAGATAAATCATGATCACTTCACGCAAAACTCGTCTGACGCCCAACACTTCAGTAAATTGGAGTCACATGCAAGAATGCTTGGCATCACATAGGGAAATATACGCGTAAATAGACGAGGCCCGCATTATTCGGCGTTGAATATTCATCTTGCGATATCGCAGCTTAAAAATATCGTGACGAGGAGCCGCAATACTCGAGACATTAGCTAATAGTCGACACATGATGGCATCGCGTAAATTACGATACTTTTATGTGATGGGAGCCTACAGAGCCGCACTAGAATGCGAAGAGCTGAGATAATGAGAGAGGACAGGCAAAGAGAGGGATTAAGAAAAAACAGGATTGAAGAAGTAACACGATGTAAGCAGAGAAGGAAAGACGAAGAAAGAAGAGAGGGATGAGTGGAGATGAAGTGTGAAGAAGCGACAAGATGGTAAGAAAGACATAATAAGCGCGGGGATATAAAAGGAAGCAAGTGAGATGTGAAGTGGATGTTAGAGTTGTAGCAGGTGTGTGAGGTGTGTGGTGACTGCAACAATCAGCTGTGTCAACCAATGGTCGTACCCCTATTAAAAACTATTACTGTTTCATCGCCGGTAATACCTGACTGTGACTAGAGGCAAGGCTCTGTGCATGGAAGGCTTGCTGCCGTCCTTTGAGCTTCTTGCAACAATTGAGACTTCACAGACGAAGACAACAATAACAATTGAGTTATAACAAAAAAGCAGCGGGGCAATAACAGCAACAATTGAACAATAAAACAACAATAAAAAGAAAAATGACAGCAACAACTGAGCTGTACCAACAATAACAACAGCAGTAACAACGGAGCAGCAAGCAAAATCGGTTGAGCAATAACAACAGCAGTAACAACGGAGAGACAACAACGGTTGAGCAATTACAACAGCAGTAACAATAGCGCAACAACAGCAACTCAGCAGTAACAGCAGAAAAAACGGTAACGCAGCAATAATAAAACAGAAATAAGTACGCAACAACTCTGCAATATCATGAGCTCAGCTAGGCACAAAGAGAACACCGTCAATGTATCAATGATGCAATCAGAACCAAAGCATTCAACGGAGCGTTCAATGAGCGTGAACATAGCGGATGCAGCGTCGTGACGAGGGCAGCAAAAGCGATCATAAACACAGGGATCGTCTTGAGAAAAAACATGGCGAAACTTGCCTTCGCTAATCCTGTGACGGTTTGAAAGTGATCAAGAATGAGATTGTAGTGAGGTAGCTTTCAGCAAGTGAACGTTGAGAAAAAATGAACGCATTAAAAGCGAGTTGACGTTTTGGTGAATCCTGCTTGTAAGGAGCGGTCAAAGAACTACTCTCCTTGAAATGCATCCAATTGAATAAGTCTGCACTATATAAGCGCATTCCATGATTTTTAGGCTCTCCGATACGATCAATAACCACCTCAAGTTAATATAGGTTTGCGTGTGTACAATATACATGTACAAAAATTGTACAAAATGAATCGCAAGACAGCTCTGCTAATTTGTACTAAGATGCACGTACTCGACAGCTACGTGTAGAGTAGATATATATATTACGGTACTGGGTGTGCTGCAATGTTTAAACGTAGAAGAAAAACAATAAAATCACATCCTAAATACGGTCACATGCGAATGGTCAATCAATTAGAGGGGATTGTAGTGACACGAACAATCATGAGCGCTTTGAAAGTAAACATCGGCTTAGGCAGGCTTTGTTCCAATCCTGCATGCTGATAGGCAGGTGGAGTTACGATGTCAGCATTACTAATGGATATGTGTCGCCAGGTGAGGTTAGGAGATATGGTGACCTCCATAGAGTATGTGTCACCAGGTGAGGTCAGGAGATATGGTGACCTCCATAGAGTATGTGTCGCCAGGTGAGGTCAGGAGATATGGTGACCTCCATAGAGTATGTGT